GGGGAAAGGGGAGAGCGGGGGGGGGAGGGTCACATATTGTTTGAACTCTGTACTCTGTCCACTTCTTTTGACTTGGGCCTAAAGTACGGTGAGTGGGATGATGCGGAATGGGACAAAATTTGGATTTGCTACACAGAAGTCTGGGTTTTTTTTAAAAGTTGAGCTTGAGTTAAAGTTTTACGGCACCTTCAAGACAGATAGGTCATATAAGTGGAGGGGAAGGCAGATGACAGAACAGTTGAGAACAGGAAAGGAGAACTTTTTTAAGAAAATTAATGGGTTTTTTCCTGTCATTGTCAGGTTTAAATCCTAGAACCTTTTGAATGAGAGGCGAACACCGTGCCTCTAGATCACGAGAACCCTAGTACAGAAGATTAGAGGTAGATGTTACTAGATTATTATTATAACAACAAAGAAAAGGAGAAGAGAGACAAGGACGATAGTACATGTAGGCCCACCGAAGACAAAATATGTTACCGAATGCATATAACGGAATAATAGCAAAGAAAACAAGGAAGAGGGACATTAAGGACGATGGTGTAAGAGGCTAGAGGTGTTACTAAAAAATAGCAAAGAAAGAAAAGAAGTAGGAGAGACATAGATCTAGACGATAGTACATGTACCGAAGACAAAATGTGTTTGTTGTTATTAGGTAATAACACAGAAAAAAGGAAGAGGGACTTTAAGGACGATAAAGAAGGAGACTAGAGGTGTTACTAAATAATAACAAACAAGCAATAACACAGAAAATAAGTAGGAGAGACAAGGACGATAGTAGGCCTACATGTAGATCTACCGAGGACAAAATAATATGTTATTGAATTTTAGCAAAGAAAACAAGGAAGAGGGACATTAAGGACAAAGGCGTAGGAGACTAGAGGTGTTGCTAAATAATAACAAACAAACAGCCACTAAAAAGAAGTATGAGAGATAAGGACTATAGTCCATCATGTACTGAAGACTAGAGGTGTTGCTAAATAATAACAAACAAAAACAACAACAAAAAAAGAAGTAGGAGAGATGAGGACGATAGCACATCATGGACTGAAGACTAGATGTGTTGCTAAATAATAACCAACAAACAATCACAAAAAAGAAGTAGGAGAGATAAGGACTATAGTACATCATGTACTGAAGACTAGAGGTGTTGCTAAA